TTAATAGTATATTAAAAAAATTAGAAAATTCCATCTTGTGAAATGAAAATTTTACTTAATACACAAATAATTCTTTTGCACGTGAAAAATGACATTTGTGATACCTGATCACAAATATCCATGTAATACGCAAAACCGGCTTAATTTAGAGATTTAACTCCATTTGCCCATTTGCCATTTGGAATTCACACGTATAAAATAATAGCTTTCCCATGCATCCCATTCAGCATGTCCAGCCGCCTTGCCAATCGGCGCAGCACACGCGATCGATTGTTCAGGATTCAAGGACGCGTTGGGCGGTGCGCGGGATCGATCAACCGCCAAAGAGCGGCGAAGCTTTCCGAAGTTTAAATCCTAATCGTCATCGTAATCGCTCGTGGAGCGGTGGTTTGAATCGCCTCTCACGATATCGGCGCTGGCATTGTCCATTGTGCGCCATGTACGTGCCGCAGGTTTCGCGACAGGACTTAGCATACGTGCATTCATAAGAACGTCGAGGATGTGCGTTGAAAAAAAAAAAAAACTATCTGGAGACTCGCACCGCTCGTGTGTGAGATTCATAGAGAAATCAAAGGTATGACGTGATGTAATTCCTGTGAAATTCATTTTTCAATACTTTCAGCACCTGGAATCTTGTCTGGAAGATTTTGACGGGTAAAAGTGCGGCGTCGCCGTCTTATTTTTTTCAGCGTAAAGTGTCGACAAGTGAGTTGAGAATCTCCGATAACAGAAATATTGAAGAAATATTGATATCTTGAAATCTGATATTTCCATTTTCCATCAGAAAGCGAATGTACAGATCGAACGAAAGGACAAGATGTTTAACTCTGTAAAAAGTAAAAAAAAAAAAGAGAGAGAAAGAGAGATCTGTCCTAATAAACTTTTATCTTGAAATTCAGAATATACAATGAATTTATATTATGGAATAACTGGTAGATAAACTTGTAGATATAAATATAAAACGAAAAAAATACAAATATATACACAATGATAGAAAATATTTTTTTTTTATGAAAATGAAATTAATTCGAGCACACATAGGTGTCTTTTATAAATCCTTTATTTTTAACGCAAGAATTTTTTAATCAAGATTCTTCACATAAATATCCGTCATTCGTACATTTTAAATCAAACAGGACACATTCTCGGGTACAAAATCTCGTTTTTATGAAACATGTAACTTAATAGTTTTAGAGTGGATCTAATGGAATTATTTTAACACGCACCTCTTAATACCTTCGTACACATATGCACATAACAGAAAAACTATTTCGAAATAGCATGTTAACTGCGAGCATAAATGCAGGGGCTGTTTGGGACGTTGATTACAACGTTTAGTTAAATGCTGTATTTTCCGGGATTCGACGAAAAAGAAGTAATGGAAAACTAACTGCGGAGAGCTTTGCCGCGGTGCACTGCGGGGAGCAAAAAAAAAAAAAGAAGGAGTGAGCGATATATAGGAAAGTTTCGTGAGAACCGTAAAGTGCCGCGAGTGCTTGGAGGCAGGGCGAACAATTTCGTCGGTTATAAAAGTAATGCGATATCTCGTGCGGGATGCGGAATATGGAGCGGCGGCGTCCATTATGGAAAAAGCGCGGCGGTGGAAAGTAACGAAAAATTTAGTGTCAAGCGAGACTAATCATTTAGGAACTTTTTGCGACGGTACCCGCGGGAATAGGAGTAGCTTCCGCACGATATATTTTTCAATATTCGCGCGAAATCAGAGCAGTAAAGTAAGACGATGGTATTGAGAGGGTACAGTATTTGTACCGCGTGACACATTCGATTTATGTAACAGTAGGAGTCCTGGACTTTATTTTCAAAGAAAACGTGTCGAGAAATTTTTCGCGTCGTGTCTGAAACCTCATAAAATTTGCGTCGAGATTAACATAAACAAAATTTATGCATTTTTGTACATAGAAGAATTCGAGAGAGGAAAAGAATTTTCTTTTCAAATTTTATAGAATATCTTGATAGTTCTTCTGAATTTGAAATAGAAAAATAAACGTCGTATAAACAATTTAATAAAAAATTAGCTTAGAAAAAAATATATTTTATTAATCTACGAAAAAAATTATCACATGTCACATGTAAAAAAAATAGCTATTTTTCCTTCACGGGGAAAAAAAAACAAACAAAGATTCGTAATCTTCCTCCTAACAAAGATTCGTAATCTTTTGGTATTGTTGCTGCGTATTGCGCGATACGTATCCGGCACACATGAGCATATATGCCGGTTGCAATTAACGCCTACGTACGTCTAAACGGGTATACCGCAGAATTCAACGGTATCAACAGCGGCACTGCTCGTCAGCCGCATGGGCTTCTCTTCAGCCACAGACATCTATACTTATGCCAGACCGCTAATACCGTTGGTTGACGTAGTACAAATTGAAGCGCACAACATGGTATTCGTACGTAGAGGAAATAGGCAGCCATACGTAATCATATGTCGGTATGACTTGCGGGCATGTTATTAAAAATTATCACAAATAAAGCGCAATGTGAAGTGCGTGCCTACATAATAGTCATAAAATTGTCAGCGTGTTACCATCTCACTCATAAAGAAACACATGCCGATTACATTGTACTTGAATGGCGGTGACTCTATCGCCGTGCCAGATTTCCACTCTTCATCTCTGCTCATTGCGTTTACGACTGTTAGCGGTCTGGTCTAAGCATAAGCCGATATTCTCTTTGTGTTATTTCTGTGGAGCTTACATGTTGTTTTAAATGTGCTCTTTTCATAATCAGCGGTGGTTTGTATTTTGCAGGAAAGAGGATTTCTCTTAACTCGAAAATTGCAGATCGATATTTATTAATTATTTGATTAAGAACGAAATGTTGTTATAACTTAAGTATTCTTTTTCTTAGCGATTTTATCAAAATTCGAAAAATTATATAATATGAAATAACTTACAATTTTACATAATAAAAATTTAATAATAAGTAAAAATTATATAATAAAATGTAGAAAATAAAAGTAAAAAAGACAAAAGAAATTGTTCAGAGTATATTATAAAGTGCAAGTTGAGATAAATATTATAAAATTGTAAATAAAATTTATAAGTTCTGTTGAATGTAATAAATAAAAATTCTGAAGATTGTACTAACATTGTACATTTAGATTATATATTTTTAATATGTTTTTAATGTCCTTTTAGTAAATCTAAAAAAATAATTTTTCTTATTTTTTTCTCACACTTTGAAGATAAGACTTTATAAAGACAAGTACTTGATAGTGGATGATGTAATTGACTGCGCCAAATTACATTTCCCAGGGCGTTAGAAGTGCGAGAAGATGGAGGCGCCATGGAGTGCCTTATAATTTTATATCGATCACGTTCATGCGGTTTTTCTGTGATATACAGCAGGGAGAGATGACTTAGCACTATGTACGTCAAAGACGTTTTCAAGTTATTACTTTTTATAGAAAGCGAGCGGTCAGAAATTCATTTCGTATATACAACATATTTTTTGATAACACTTAAATAATATCTTTAAATATTAATTTTTTCATATTTTGTTCGATTATTATAAATTCTTAAATTTATTAATTATTCCAATTATATATTAATTGCATCTGCCTTTCATAGCACTGCTGAATTAAAATCTTCTATTGTTAAATTCATCGCTTTGTATTTTTAGTCTGCCTTCGCGCTTTTTCTTCCGCTCCTCGCAAAAAAACAATACCGATCGTCAGGCAGATCGATTGAAATCGATACATCCCGACTTACGCTTTGTCTGCGCTCCAATTACAATCGTGATTCCTGCAGCAGACTCGACGCTTTCCGCGGCAGCATATGAGAAAAATGCCAGGCATTGTTTCTTGTGAAATTATTTCAAAATCATGGGAAGCTGCATGCATGTAAAGCTGCAGGCATTCCATAAATGAGGCAAACATTGAACGCTTGGATGTACTCGCATCGACGATTTCGAAAAGTCTCTCAAATAATATCTACGCGTGCAGGTATTGATCGACTCGTCTATCTCGTATAATGAACGATAGCGACAATTTTCTAATGGCAGAATTCATGCGTTTCGCTCATTACATCGCTACATCGTCGTTTTTCGAGCGTAATGCGTTCTTGCTTCCGTCGTGCAGGAATGCATTCTGGATAATGTTGTTACACGTCTGTGCATAAATCTTAGGCGGTTATGTACGGTTACGTCATAAATCACAGCCGGAGTACAGGATGTAGCGAAACTATCACTCAAATATAGATACTGTTAAGATAAACTTTGTGGAATGCCAATTGTTTCAACCTCTAGAGGCACCTCGATCACTTTTGATTTGTGTAAAAATGAAGTGCTGATTCAAATTGCAAGGGCGAACAGATGGAATGAAATTATATCCTTATTGAAGCTTCTTTAAATTTTATTCAACACTTCATTATATTCGTGTAACCTTTCAACTACGTAATTAATTTTAAAAATGTTTAACTGTTGTTAAAAGTAAAAAGTTGTTGAAAATTGAACAAATATTTTTTTATTACTTTAACGAAGATGTTCTTATTAATTAAAATTATTGCTCTTCTTTCTTCTTCTCTTTAACGATATTTTTTTTCCCTTCTGTCTCGAAGTTATGCTGACATTTAAAGGTTATTGTATCGTCCTTCCTATCAATCTTCGATTTGCAACGCGCAAGATAGCTATGTATTATTATATCTTTTTCAACGCATGTTATTTCTTATAAGTCATAACCGCAATTGAATGCGATGCAATTATGGAAAAGCAATCGATATCTCTTCGGAAGGATACACGCCTGATCGGTCATTACCGATGATTTCTCTTGACTGCGTGCTCTCTCTCTCTCTCTCTCTCTCTCTCTCTCTCTCTCTTTCTACTTTTCTCACGAGAATAATTGACGCCCGGTTTATTATCCTTGCGAGTCATTCTCTCGACCGGTGACTTTACTCTCTCGTAGGACGACGACACGCACAATGGGTGTCGTCTATTTGCCTGAGTTATTCATGAGGGACCATCTTTCTCCTTTGCAGAGGCCGAATGCTGCGTCGGCGAGGCCGCCAGCGAGGCATGCTGGGAACCTTGTTACTGCGTCCTTCTGCAGGACGAGCAGACCCTCACGGCTTACAGGAGCGAGGACATGGCGGTGAGTACATTTTTCTCTAAAAGCCTTTCCGATTCCCCTGGATTTATCCATCCCGCGGCTGTTTCGCTCCCTTCTCTGTGCACACGCGACACTGTCATAAGGCACGGGGCGGATTTACACTTGTTGTTACATGTTTGTTTTCCGTAATGCGCGTTTTTTTTTTTTAGTCGGTTTTTCTTTAGACACTGTATCAGTGGTTCTCATAGACAGTTGCCAAAAAAGTCTGAGTTATACATGTTAATAAAAAAATATAAATGTTAATATTATTACTTATAATTTCTATAAAATCTTTCTCACGATATTCTGATGTTACGTTAAAGTTGTACATTTTCGCGAAATTTTTCGTGGTGTGTTAAAACGAATTTAATTTTCTAAAATCGGAGAAAATAATTGAACTTTTACATTATCCCATATTTTTACCAAATTTCAGTGAAGTTACTTGAAGTGAAATTTCTTGAGAAATGTAATTTTAATTTTAGAAGTTTAATAGTATTTCCTTGAAAGAACCATTTCTTGCTCGTTGTTTACGTGCGATTACCTTCACAATACCTTTACGGTGCCTTTGTAATACCTTCAAATTGGCACATCGGAGAACCTGTTTGATCGCTGAGTAAAATGCCTTAGTAAAGGGGGCGCCGACCTCTAATTCGATTAGAAAGTTTATACTTGACTGACACGAACGGACACATGAACGCTTTGAAGACTACGGACTTCTATCCGCAACCGTAGATCGTTACGAATAGCATTGAAGATTATCGCCAGGATCGTCTCTCACACGCGTTACGAGACCTTCGGTAATTCTCGATTCTATCGACTTGATAGGAAAACCGATTCTTACCAACGTGTCGCAGCACAGCGATTCATCCTACTCCGCTCGATGTCCCGTTCGATTTATTTATAGACACACAATAATAACACTGTGATGTGATATATGCATACTTTTTGTCAAGAGAATCATGAATTGCATGAATTCGATCCCGTAATCTTCGTATTTTTCCCGTATCTTCGTAGTTTATTTATTTTTACATGATCGCCGAATTCCGTTTGCACGCGACGTCCATTACGGATGTTTCATGAGAAACTTAAAGCAAGAAAAAGATTTATTTTATATATAACGAATATCCGATAATATTCTAGACTATTGCAGATATCTTTCTAGATTTAGATATCTACACAAATAGCAAACATAAAGAATGTATCTATTACTTTAGCTCTTGGTAAAGCAAATACATGAAGACACGCAAATGGCTTCTGGCTCCTAGCAACGCAAACACATAAAATCACCGGAGCTGTCACGAGAGCGTTAAACTTGCAAGTTATGCGACTTACGAATGGCTAGACTTCTCCTTTACGAGAACAAAAAAATTTAAATAGAATTTCTTACGTAATATTATCATATGTAAAAAATATTTTATACCTACCAGATTCTTATATGACTAACAGGAATTCAATGATGCGCGCAATAAATCCCGTACTTTATGCTTAACGGTTATGATTGACGGTTTACAATCGTTCCAGTCGAATTAGCAATGGAAAATAAGATTCGATCTCATTTTCCATTGCATTCGAGCCCCGCGAAATCGAGACTCGAAGTAATAGATAAAAAAAAAAAAAAATACAGACGTAGATAAGAAGTAAGAGACAGTGGATATTTTGTGTTTCGGAATTGCTTCGTTCCCCTGTGTCCTCCCGCCATCTCGGAGCTTTCAGTTTCTTCTTTTCCACCTCTAATCCCCCTCGGAGTGTGAACTCCAACCATTACTTAGAGAAGCGTATTATCTTCGGTATACACAGTGAGAGCTACTTTCCTCCGATCCGAGACTTTCCCGTACCGGCACAATTTAAGAGACGTTCACACGATCGATATTATCGCTGGCTACTTCGAATACTAATGTATTGACATTTTTAACTAATATAATCGTAATTACATTGTCTGTATGTCCCACTAACTTATTTATATTTCTATTGAGTTTTATATATTATCGTGTAGCACAAAATATAAAAGTATATCAAAATATGAAAGAGTAAAATTAATATTATTAATTTTAATTGATTTGCTCTTTTATTCTGTGAAATATATATTTTCCTATATAATCTCATGCTTTTAAAATGAATATTAAGAAGCAAAAATATTTTTATCGCAGATTTTATTATTTAAAATACAATAAGAGAGAATTTTCTTTAAATTATTTTTACGCGTCAATGAAAGTTTAAGATGCTCAGGGTATAATAGCGGAAATGCTTATGTTCTTTCGTCGTTTCGATTTCGCTGCAATGTGTTTTAGCTAACATAAGTGGTAACCATTATATGTATTTAGGGTTGTCTGAGGCTTCTGTGGAATTTATTCCGCAGAACTTCACCTTTTCTATTCGCGTATTTCACATGAAAGCTTCGCGAATTTATTACTATACACCTTGTCTATTTTTAATCGTTTTTAGGGCACTTTAAATAGTTTCTTTTTTACGATAAGAATCTTTTATAACAAGAATACCATCATCAGTGATTTATAAACACTATTAAATCTTCTTATTTTGTGCAGCAAATAGAACAAATAAAACAAAATATGTAAAATATTAAAATTTAAGCATCGTTAATAAAGAGATAATTATTGTCCACATATAGTAAAATTTACTATTTACATTATTATACATATATTATTTCATCACAATAATTATATATATATATATTATTTCAATTTCTGCAAATAAATTGTGTGAAATATTATCAATCATATTATAAAAAATCATATTATAAATAATATTTGTTAAGTATTTGTTAAATATGTGTTTACTCATCCTAAAATATGTATTAAACATTTTATTACATATTTTAATATAATAATGTAAATAGTAAATTTTACTATATGTGGACAATAATTATCTCTTTATTAACGATGCTTAAATTTTAATATTTTACATTTTTTATTTTATTTGTTCTATTTGTGATTCATAAACTTTATTTATATATATAAATGCCTTAATTAAGATAAATTTGAGTGTTTGATCGAAATCTATATCTAGCCAAATTTTGGAAAATTTTTACGTGGATTATTATTGTGAAAAAACACATTTACAAATGGAACGAACGATTCACAATGGTTTTCTTTATTATTGATGTACTTCAAAGTCAATAACAGAAGTTGAGCCGAATACATGATCGCGTGCACGATTATTGTTATTATATACGATATCTGCATGTTACATCATCACTATATAATGAGAAATTGAAACTCGTCGACTGAATCCATTCAGTAAATCGTTCTCCAAACGTGGCCTGGCTTCTCATATAGTCAGAAGCTCTTGTAAATCCCTGAAGTTGGCCCTTAACCCTCGAGAAACTCCCGTGATACGTGACGTCAGATGTCGGATTAGTTAATTCGAACGTTATGGTTGTGTCGAGCGAACTTGTCTTCGCAAATGATAGCATTACTGTTATTCTAAAATCTGAATTATATTTTTCAATCTCATTTCTAGCACGCATGATCTTTGTCGATTAGATTTTTCTATGTAATTTATTTGCCACAAATAAATTTTCTGGTATTTTTTGCAATTGCTAAACAAACTATTTTTTTGTTTGATTTAATGCTCATCTTACGTTATCTCTTTTTCGGACGAGGAAGATATCAGATAAATATCTAAAATAAAGTTTATTCCATTTTCTAGGGCTTTACTTCATGAAATTCTTGAATCTATTTAACAAAAATAATGAAATATTCTTCGTGTTTAATGTGATGAGAAGTGAGTAGTTTCCTTTTAAAAAGATTTTTATTTTGACTATAAAAAAGATGTGCTAACTTGCTGAAAGAATTGGCTTGGCGAATCTAGACGAGATTTTTATTACAATACAACGGACGAGAAAATGGATATAAGCTTAAACCTAACAGCTGTCTGAATTATCATTCGTACGCAACGCTCGCTCATGGAGATTTTGGTAGATTTCGCGTAGCATGGTCTGTTACAGGAACGATTCTGCCGGCGTTTCAGCAGTATTGCGAAACAGACACGGGACCCTGATTAGTACCTTCGTCGTGTACTCAGTTCCTTACTTTGAGAAACTTGCTTTCTCATCTCGTGCCGCTTCAGCCTCATCTCCCTTCCGTCCGTCGGCTGTCGTCGTCTTCGTCTTCGCGAGCTTCATATAGTCACTCGTACATCTCTACTACCGTGCCTTGTTATTACTAAATCAAGACAAGCGCCCTAACTCTCCCTCTTCCTTTCACTCCCTTCGTCTTTTCCTTCCTTCTACGTGTAATCACATTCAAGGGATCCAGGAACACGACTTGCTTCGTTATTTGCCGCTGAGGCCAGCTCGAAGGAACGAGGTTAACGGCCATTGAAGGATTTTTTTTTCTTAGACCGAGTCTTTCTCTCTTCCGGGATCAGGCTTAAAAATAGATGTCTCGTTGACGAAACTATTCGATATGCTGTAGCTAATATTTTTCCATCGCAGATCAAGTCGAGATGCAGTTTTTGTTGCGGGAAAATATGAATATGAAAAATGAAATATGTGCGACAAAAGAAAATACGTATGAAAATTAAATAAACAGAACAGTAATTAAACAGAACAGTTTACGTTCAGGGTGTAACAAATTATAATCATAATAATCAGAATAAAACTTTGGATTTTTAATATTATTGTATAGATAAGATAATGGGAAGGAATTTTACTCTCTGTGGGATGATTTGAGGATAATGTTAACATTAAAGCTGATTCCGATTTTACTACGTCGATCGAATTTTGAACATTGTTGCGATTTTTTATGCTCTGTTACAACGTATTTTACGATGTAACGGTTTATTCTCTATTCCGGGATCGCGTTATCTCGCAAACAGCGGAGGATTTTGCTGCTTAGTCCATTAGCATCGACTTGATGATCATAAGTTGGGTATAAAGTGCGCACAGAGGATCCGCACCATCGCATCCTCTTCGTTGTGTAGCACGAAACAACGGAGATGTAAGTAACGCAGATTAGGGTGAACGTACGCGAAAAGGAGTATTA